GCCGGGGCCGGGGGTGTCGCTCCTGTGGGGACGATCGGTCGACCCGCACGCCAAACGGGACGTAGTGGACGTATGGCTCGAGGAGGTGGTAGTAGAACCTGCGTGCGGGGCGACGCCGAGGGGGCAGAGCGCGGGTCACGACGCGCACCCCGCGGCGCCCGGCATCGGCCGACGTCTTCGGCAAAGCGCGCTGCGGGGCGGGGTGGCGTGGCATGCCGCCAGCGGTACGGCGTGTTCAAGCCGGCAGGGCGGCCGCCCAGTGGACGCAGGGGGGTGACCTCGCGTCCTCTCTCCTCTCGGCCAAGCTCGGACGGGGTGGCCGAGCGACAGAGCCTCGGGAGGCACGAGCGGCGTGCGGAAGAATAGGGGGAGGGGAGCTCCAGTAGGGGAATCTGGCAGCGTGCGTGGGTGAGTTCGGCATCTAGTTTGGCGGGCTCGACGGCGGCGGCGTTGCCCGAAGTCACCCCGTTGAGAGACTCCTTGACGACGAGCGAGTTGGTCGCGAGCACCTCGAGACGGGACGGGACACGTCGGGGACACGTCAGCGACATGTCGGGCACACGCCGTCGGCGACACGTCGGGGACACGTCGGGGACACGTGCTGGGCGCGTACGCTCGGTCACTGAGAAGGCAGACATGTGTGTCGCTGGCCTGTCGTGTCTGTGGGAGAGGCGTGAGTGACGGACGCGAGGGTCGGTCAGCTCCTAGCTAGCTAGCGATCTGCCTGCGTCGGAGCTCACTAGCTAGAGCTCTCACGCATGGAGGCCGGCATCGCAGTCGCCCCTCCCGCGGCCCAGTGCTGCCTGCTGACTGTCGTCGCCGTCTGTCTGTCCGCGACTGCCTGTGCATGCGCGAGACTGGGCCCGGGGTTGTGGCGTTTGCGTGGGCAACGACCTTGAGCAGCCGGTGGGCGTACGAGTGGCCGTCGAGCGAGACGAGGTACTTTCGGGAGAGGTGGTCCGCGGGCGTCGCCTCCTTAAGCAGAGGCAGCGGAGCCTGGGGCGGCGGCGGGGGGGGGGAGGGGGGGCGGTGGCGGCGAGGGCAGCTGGGGGGGGGGGGGGGGTAACCCCCAAGGCGGCGGGGGCAATGGAACCTGGGGCAGGGCGGAGGCGGCGAAGTCGGCGGGGAGGGCGGAGGCGGGGAAGGAGGAGGCGGGGGACGGCGGGGGCGGAGGCGGTGATGGTGGTGGTGAAGGCGAAGCACACACACACACACACACACACACACACCTCCGGCTGTGCGCTACTGTGGCGGGGGCGGGGAGGCGCGCCGGCGAGGCTGATCCGTTCGGGTTGAGGCTGGACCGCGTCTTCATGAACGGGTCGTGCTCCTACGTGCTGCGTACGCCAACCTCGGGGCGGGAGATCTGGGGAGATCTGGGGAGATATGGGCGGCCTACGTGAGCAACAGCACACCAGCCTCGGGGCGGGAGTACGGTGTCGTGCGGAGTATATGGCCATGCATACGGCGGTGTGCAGAGTATTAGTGGTGCATATACCAACGTCGGGGCGGCCTACGTGCTGAATACGCCAACCTCGGGGCGAGGAGACGGTGTTGTGCAGAGGGTTCAGAGCACCGCGTGAATACGAGGGGCTACGTGGTGTGCTTCTGGGGGCGTGGTCCTTCATATACCACACGAGGCCGATGTCGTACTGGGCGCGCTGCGCGGCGCTCCCCTCAACCGCGAGCCGGCTCAGCGCATACCTTCCCGCAGAGAGAGAGAGAGAGGTGAGAGAGAGAGAGAGAGAGAGAGGGAGAGAGAGGGAGAGAGAGAGAGAGGTGAGAGAGAGAGAGAGAGGTGAGAGGGAGGGAGGGAGGGAGGGAGGGAGGGAGGGAGGGAGGGAGAGAGAGAGAGAGAGAGAGAGAGAGAGAGAGAGAGAGAGAGAGAGAGAGAGAGAGAGAGAGGCGGGACGGGGCGTGTGTGGGTTGCGAGAGGTGCGTGGGTGGGTGGGGAGGCATGCGGGGAAAGGTGCGAGGGAGAAGGCGCGGGCAGGGGAGGTTGGGCGTACAGGCGAGAGGAGGTGCATAAGGCGAGGCGAGGCGCATCACCGCGAGAGAGTGTGTGAGTTTGGCCGGCCGCGAAAGTAGGCGGTCGGAGCCTTGCCTGCTCCGAGGGGGACGTGGGGCAGGAGCACTCAGGGATCGCTTCGCTGTGCGCCGGAGGCGGGGCGGGAGCGGAGCCGAAGGCGGGTGCGTGCGAGCGATCCGCGTGCGCTCCTTCCCAGCGCGAGCGATACAAGGTCTCGTCCGACCATCCGCAGGGAGGAGGCAGGCCGATGTTTGAGATCCACGGGCCGGCAAAGGAGTAGTGGCCGGCGGGGTAGAGGATGTCGGCGCCTCGCCCGAGCTCCTTCGTGATCGAGAGCAGCGGCAGCAGTGTCCGGTCCTTGAGTCGCACGCGGCCGTAGTCGTCCGCGTTGATGAGCAGCTCGAGGTCCGGAGGCGTCGGCAGCGCGGGATCGGAGAGGATACTGAGGATCATGCGGATCGTGGCCTGCAGCTGTGGGTCGCCGTGTCGCGCCACCTCGCCCGAGCGCAAACGAGGCCGGGGCAGCCACAGCGTGCCGTTGACGACGGCGAGCGTCGCGAGGATGTCTGACTCGTCCCACCGATGCATGGCGCGGTCGATCATGTCGCGCGTGATGCCGTCCCACTGCGCGAGATCCTCCCGGATCTGGGCGTACAGCGGCTCGTGATCTGAGCACACGGTGGAGCACTGCGGGCTGGCGGGCTGCATGTTGTGTCGAGCGAAGGTGATGTCAGGCCCCCTAAACAAATAAAGGGCTCACGCGCACGGCTGTCGGTCAACCCTGCGGCGCATGCGCGCCGCCAAGGCTGCTCGACAGGCGACTGGCATTGTGGCGACGCGGTCGCCGTTACTCCAACTTTGCTTTGCCGATCAAAAGCGCCCGTCCTTTGCTTTTTCGCCGCCGAAATTTAGCTTGCTGTTTTTTTCTTTATAGGCGTCTGCCACTTCCAAGCTGCGTATTCTTCTTGTATTATCGTCGAGTAGTGCAGGTACTGCGTGGGGGCGGTACGTATTCCCGTATCACGTATCACTAGCTCCGAGTAGAGGGGGCGTCCTGCAGTTAAGGGGAAACCTGGTACGCGGGTCCAACCCTCGGAGAGTATTCTTTAGCTCCGAGTAGAGGGGGCGTTCTGCTGCTAGGGGAAACCTGGAGCGCGGAGCTAACCCTCGGAGACCCGTGTTTACTTTAAGGCCCTTGCCCTGCTTACTTTAAGGCCCTTGCCCTGCGAACGCGCACCCCCGGGGCTAGGGCTCTCTAGCCCGTAACCCGATGCCAATCATCCGGCCCGCTGGGTGCGCTTCTGAGCTCCCCGGCCCTGGATGTGCGGTTGATGACTGCACTCCAAGTGCTCCAAGTGCTCCGTCCTCCGGTACCGCAGGTTTTGAGCGAGTTTTTCGCCATGCAGCGAGCAGCAAGCCGCCCGCCGCAAACAGCCGGAGGCCTCGCCGCGGCACTGGCTGCGCCGCGCTCCCGCACCCGTCGGCGCAGCTCCCCCCGCGGAAGACCGCGCGTAGCGACGCCTTGACGATCGAGATGAGCGTGCCTGAAGCTCGCCCACCTACTGCCCCTGAGAGTTGGTTACGAGTGGGATCGGCTCCCCCCCTTGGGATCAAAGCTTCCACGACCTCGCACCCAACATCGCAGGCGGGATCAGAAGGGGACTCCACACCGGACACCGCCCGGGTACAGACCCCCTACCCGTCGGATTGCACAGGGCCCCCTCGGAGCAGCCCATACACAATCACGCATCGGCAGAATTAGTGCCTGAGTCAGGCAGACAGCACAGACAAGGAGAGGAGAGAGAGGAGAGAGAGAGAGAGAGGAGAGGGGAGAGGGTGAGGGTGTGTGCACACGTGTGGAGAGGGAGGGTGTCTGTGGTGGGCTGTAGTCGTACTACGTGGTTACAACCACGCGCCCCTCAGGAGCTTAAGGTAGAGTGGAGCGTCCCAGACGCCTCGGTGCCTCCCACCGGCGTGAAGACCATCCGGATCAGCCCAGTACGCCCTCCGGGCGAACGGTCCCCGCGATGGCCCACGGTCCTCCGTCGCCTGGTTGAACCCCCTGCCTCCCGGTTGAACCCCCCCCACTCCTCGTAGTCCATCATGAAATAAACTCAAAGACCCACCACGCCTCCAGCCTCCACCTCCACCCGCGAGCCACCACCGCCCGCGACGCCGCCCGCCGCGTCAGATTGCCGCGACGCGCGCTTCGAGTCGAGTCGGAGAGCCGCGCCGCACCAGCACACTGGTCAAACTATTAGCCTCATAATGAGGAAAAGGCTAATAGCGATTTCAAATAGTGCTACTATTAGCTCAGAGGGGCTAATAGCTGAGCTTCATAACGTCTGGAGCTATTAGAACACCACTATGAGATGGGCTAATAGCGACTATTAGGGCGCTATTAGGGCACTATGAGAGCCGAATAGTGGCCCTAATAGTGCCCTAATAGTGCGGTACCCGCGCGACGCGCACTACGCGCGGCGCGGCAAGAGCGATGGCGCCGACTCTCTAGGAGACGGGCTTCCATGAGGCAACCACGGCGAACGAGAAGGTCACCGTGGAGTCGTTGAACTTGACCGTGGTGACGTCAGGCTTGGTGGTGCTCTTCATCACCTTGACGCACCAGCCGCCGGCGGAGACGCCGGGCCACAGCGAGGGCGGCGCGAGCAGGAAGCTGGTCGTGCGGTCCGCACGAGCGCGGGTGTTGCCTGCGCAACAGGGGCACGGGGACGAGCGTCAGCCCGGCAGCTTGCGGCGGCGCGCGCGCGCGGCGACGGTGCGCACGGCTTGGGAGAGCAGGGAGAGAGAGAGAGAGATAAGGCCGCTGCCGCCGCAGAACGCAGGATGTGGCTGCGTGCGGGGCGCGGCGGGCGCGGGCGCGCGCTCGGACCTTGCAATTTCAAACTGCGCACGCCCTGATCACGAACAGGATGCGGGCGGCGCAGAGATCTGCTGCCGCCCGGACCGCCGCCCGGGGATGACCCAGGACCTCGCCGGCGCTGCGCCGGCGAGGGGCCGAAGCCCGGCGGTTGATCACGTTCTCCACACCCGCGCGCGCTGTGCGGTCGCCGTTCCGCCTCACAAGGCTTCTCGCCGGATCCGCGATCACCGTGGATGGACGCCAAGAAGACCAGCGCTGCGCCGCACGCCGCCAAACCACCACGCTGGCGCCAGCTCGCAGAGGGTTTCTCGCTGCACGCCAGATGGTCAGCGGGCGCCGATGGCGGCATGGGCGCGACGAGCTCCGTGGCCGGCATGTCGCTATGAGGCCCAGCTATTAGGCCGCGCCGTGAAGCATGCGGCATGAATCGCGAAATCGCTAAGTGCGCATTATGAGGGTCCATTATTAGGACATCGGCTATTAGCACACCTAATAATTGCACTATTAGCCCCTCTGAGCTAATAGTAGCACTATTTGAAATCGCTATTAGCCTTTTCCTCATTATGAGGCTAATAGTTTGACCAGTGCAGCAGCATCTGCACCACCAAAGCCAGGCCACACACTCCACGCTGGCCCACAGAGTCCCACTCTAGGGTGCCCACAGGACCAAAAAAAGAAAGGAAAAAAGAAATGGGGCACTCCCGATCGCAGCACTTCATGTTGGATAGTCGAGATATTGAGAGTGTGACTAGGAGGGCGGGACGCTGGGGATTCTCAAAGGTATACCCTTGGAATGGCCGGATCCAGCCTTAAAAGTACGAGATCGCGCGCGCTTCGCGCACAGCACCGCCTGTTCTCCGCGGCTGTGTGACGACGCGTGCCGTGTGCCAGCAGAGTTGGGCGCGCGCGGCGCGACGGCGCCCGCGAGGGAAGGCGCGGGTGCAGCGGCCGCCGGCGGCCGTACCGCTCGCCAGCCAGCGCAGCAGCGGCCAGCGCAGCGGCCGCCGGCGCAGCAGCAAGATCAGCCGGTGCGCGCCTTGCGAGGCGAGTACTGCCGCCCGGCAGCCTTGAGGCGGCCGGGCGGCAGTACTCGTTCGAACTTTGCGAGCCGTGCGCGCGCCGAGGCGCCCGCGGCGCGCGCCCGCCCGGCTGCCAGTAGGAGGCGGCGCAATATGGCCTATAGTACAGCCCTTAGGAGGAGGAAGAGGCTGGCTGGCAGTGCTGTATGCCGCCGAGGGGCAGTTTTGGGGTGCTGTCCCCATCCCAGGGGGCTGCAGAAGGCGTCCGCAGCCGGGACAACCCGCCCCCCCAGCCGAGGCCGGTCGAAGCCCACTTGAGCACAGCCATGAGGAGTCCTCTTGGTGCTCCTGGCGGCCGTTGGAATGGCGAGCGCGCGCCGATGGGGGGGGGGGGGGGGTCTTGCTTGCTCCACACCGAGCGCCATCGGTCCGGACCGGCGTGCTCACCGAGGGGTGGCCTGCACAAGGTCTGAGCCGCGGGCGCTCGGCGCCAAGTGCAGTGTCACGCTCGCACGCGAAGGGGACACAAGGGAAACCCTCGTTTCCTATGTACTCGGTCCCCCAACGGAAGAGGCCTCGCTCCTATTGGAACAATCCAACATCAGATTTGCCTCGTGCGTCCCTTTTTCAATGTATGTGGTTTTTGAGCCGAAAAGCTATTTTCTTTTGGGTCCTGTGGGCACCCTACCCACGCTCCCTGGAAGCGATGCGCCGCCTTTTGCTTCTGCGCTAGTATGGGCAGCCTCTATCACAACACTACTGACCCTGGTCATTAGAGCTGCCAGGGGTAGCGTCAGGGTCAGGAGCCGGTAGGAGTCAAAACCCCCCTCATATTTGAGACATCGTGGCCCACATACACTCGTGCATCGAGCCGTACGGTTTACGTAAGGTCGTGCATCGAGCCGTACGGTTTACGTCACTCGGGGCCGCGTCCTCTCCCCCGATATTATTATTAAAAGGTGTGGAGAAGTTTACCTTACCTTACCCCTTGCACCTGTTCATATGAAAGCGGCCGGTACAAAAAGCTCACAACACACAAGTAATCCCGGGCGGGTCCCGACGATCAAACAGCTGGCCTCGTGCCACAGCGGTGTGCATGACTGACACTCAAATCACACATACCTTCGAGATACGACTGCACAGACGCGAGCACACTCAGCACGCGATCTCCCCTGACTGACTCCGTACTCTTCTCTCTGGCTTTCTCATTTCGTACGGCTACGTTGCAACGTCGTCATTCGCCTCCGAAGGGGGCCTCCGCTGACCCGCCACGCGGTCGCTGGCATCGGAACGGCGCGGCGAAACGTAACGCGGCCGCGGCTGCGCGCACACCCGACAGGTGCGGGCGCTGGGCTTGTTCTGGATGGAGCAAGCGCGGCACTTCCAAAGCGCGTCGCTCCTCCGCGGCGACGCCCGACCCGGAGCAGCCGCGCTGCTGCCCCCTCCGCCTCCGTCTCCAACGCTGCTGCCTCCGCCGCCGCTTCCGCGACTGCTTCCGCCACCACCTCCGCCTCCGCCGCTTCCGCCGCCGCCTCCGCCGCCGCCGCTTCCGCCGCCGCCTCCGCCGCTTCCTGCGGCGGCGGTGGGGACGCGTCCTCGCCAAGGCGACGTTGCGCGACGGCGCGGCGACGCGTGGCGAGGGAGACGGCGTGGTCGCGGGTCGCCGCTCAGGGGACGGGGCGAGAGGACAGCAGCCTCCCCCTACGGTTCAGAGCCGAGGCATGCGTGCTGAAGGCCGCGTGTGTCTCGCGGCGGCGCGTCGCGAGAGCACAGCCGCCGCGCGCCTCGGGAAGCGCATCCTCCGCCGGCAAGCGCTTGCGGCTCTGCCGCGCCGCCGCCGCCGCCGCCGCCGCCGCCGCCGCCGCCTCGGTCCCTGCGTCGCCCGTGCCTGTAGTGGCGCGCGGTGAGCCGCAAGTTGCAAAGCCGGCGAGGCGCGGGTCGTCGGCCGCAGCAACAGCGAGCGCAGAGCCGCCGATGGCGCCGCCTCCGGCCGTGCCACGTCGCTTAGCGCTGGCTGCGACGCGCGCATCGCCAAAGCCGCCGGCGGCGGCGCCGGCGGCGGCATTACCACTGCCAACCCCGCCGTTCGCGCCGCGGGCCACCGCCCTCGACTGCGGCCGAGGGGCGCGTGGCGCCGGCTTCGCGTCCGCGCTTGCCGCGCCGCTCAGCCGCTTGTGGATGAGCGCCACCGCGGCGGCGGCGACGAGGAGGAGGAGCGGCACCTGAAGCGAGAGGAACCACGACGAGAGGGCGGTGCCGACACCAACCTCTGACCACTCCTCCTCCCCCTTCCCGCCCGCGAGCATGCCGAGGAAGGCCTCGAGCGGCGTCGCCTGCAGCGGACCGCGCCGCAGCACGGCCGCGGAGGCGACGGCGAGCAGCGGCGCTCCGGCGGCAACCATCGGCGCGAGGGTCGGCAGGTCAGCGAGGGTGGGGGCCTGTGCCATGAATCACACCGAGGTCAGGGAGGGAGCATAGCGATGTGCAGAGGACCCGAGCACCGCGGGAAACACGAGGGATGCGAAGGCAGGGAGTACAGCCGAATGCGGGCCGAGTGCAGCGGAAGACGCGTCCTCTCGAGCGCTGATTGCAATCCAAGAATGCGTCTTCCGCTTCTAGGAGTGGGCCGTCCCGCCGCCGCCGAGGGCGAGGGTGCAGCCGGCGGCGGCGAGGAGCGCGAGCGGTCCGGCGCTGAGTGCGGCGGCGGCGCCGTCGGGGGAGAGCCACTCGGAGAGGGTGAGGCGAGTCTTCTGCCCGCCCTGCCCGCCCTGCCCGCCCTGCCCGCCCTGCCCGCCCTGCCCGCCCTCGCCGCCGTCGCCGCCGTCGGTCGCGGCTGGAGGGGAGCGGAGGGCCGCGCCGAGCAGCGAGGTGTCCCGCCGCGCCAGGAGGAAGCCGCCTGAGGGACGTGTCCTGGACGTGTCCTGAACGTGTCCTGGACGTGTCCCGCGGCATCAGCAGGAGGCCGCCGAAGAATGCGCGGCTCGACAGGCGCTCGTCCAAGTGGTGGTGCGGCGCGCCGCCGCCCACGCCGAGCAGCGATGCGTTGGCGGGGAGGGCGCTTCCCGCGAGGGCGGCGAGCGTCGCGTTGCCGCCCTGCGCCGCCGCCCCGCCCTCGTCGCGCGGCTGCCCCAGGCTGCCGAGCGTCCGCGAGGACGGGAGCAGCGACGCGTCGAGCGCGCCCAGCGCGGCGGCCAGGCTCAGCACGCACGCGGCGAAGAGGACCCGCTCAGTGCATCCAAGCCGGCGCACCTCGCCCCCGTCCAGCGCGGCGGGGCGGCCGAGCGCGCGCACCCGCCACAGGGCGAGGGCGAGGCGGAGCTTGAGGAGCAGCTTGAGGCCGCAGAGCAGCAGCAGCGCCGCCTCGGTGTACACCATCGCCTGCGCCTCGCCCCGCGCGCCAACGTCGCTCGCCGCCCAGCCCGTGAGCCTCTCGTACCCGTCGACCACGTCCACCGCCACCGCCGCCGGCAGCAGCAGCAGCACGGTGAGCCCGCCGCCCGGCACGCGGTGCGGAGAGCGCGCGAGGAGGGCGAGGGCGATGTCCACGTCGAGGCGCACGAGCAGCATGAGCAGCGAGGCAACCTAGACGAGGTGCGGGCGAGGTGCGGGCGAGGTGCGGGCGAGGTGCGGGCGAGGTGCGGCCGAGGTGCGGCCGAGGCGAGGAGCGGCGCACCAGCAGCGCCCACGCGACAGAGAGGCCCCTCCGAGCGGCCGCCTTGAGGACGTGCAGCCCGTCGGCCGAGGCGAGCGACGAGATGGCGGCGAGTAGCTGCGTGACGGTCGCGATGGCGAGGCCTGTGCGCACCGGGGGAGGGGGGGCGTGGGAGGGGCGCAGGAGGCCGTCGGCGGCGCAGGAGGCCGTGGACGAGAAGACGTGGAGGACGACGGACGTGTCTAGGACGTGTCTAGGACGTGTCTAGGGCGTGTCTAGGACGTGTCTAGGACGTGTCTAGGACGTGTCTAGGACGTGTCTAGGGCGTGTCTAGGACGTGTCTAGGACGTGTCTAGGACGTGTCTAGGACGTGTCTAGGGCGTGTCTAGGACGTGTCTAGGGCGTGTCTAGGACGTGTCTAGGACGTGTCTAGGGCGTGTCTAGGGCGTGTCTAGGACGTGTCTAGGGCGTGTCTAGGGCGTGTCTAGGACGTGTCTAGGGCGTGTCTAGGGCGTGTCTAGGGCGTGTCTAGGGCGTGTCTAGGGCGTGTCTAGGGCGTGTCTAGGGCGTGTCTAGGGCGTGTCTAGGGCGTGTCTAGGGCGTGTCTAGGGCGTGTCTAGGGCGTGTCTAGGCGGTGGCCGTGGACGAGGATTAGCGCGACGACGGTGCAGAGCTGCAGCTTCTCAAAGAGGGAGAGGTGGGCGAAGCCGCAGCAAGCGGGAGCGTGCGCGAGCTCGGCGGCGTAGAGGGCGAGCGCGGACGAGAGCAGCAGCAGCAGCGTGCAGTGCAGGTACACGGTCGACCAGAGGAAGCGAGTGCACTTGCGTGGTGACGAGCGGCACGTGCCCGAGTCGCGGAGGCAGCCGAACGCGGCGACCATCGAGAGGACAGGGAGCTCGAGCAGCGGCGCGGAGAGGGACGGCGCGATCCCCTCGCTGCCGTAGAGGACGCCGACAGAGCCGAGCAGCAGCGAGAGGAAGCCCAACGCGAAGAGCGACTTTGAGAGCGCGAGCTGCCGCTCCTCCGCCCTCTGCCGCCGGAACCCCTCGGCGAGCTCCTCCGCCGCGTCCCTCGACAGCGTGTCGCCTGCGATGGCCGAGCGCGCCTCCGCCTCGTCGACGTCCTCGGCAGCGCCGCCTAGCCGCGAGACTACCCGAGATGGCCCGAGATGACCCGAGGTGGCCCGAGATGGCGCGAGATGGCCCGAGATGACCCGAGGTGGCCCGAGGTGGCGCGAGATGGCCCGAGATGGCCCGAGATGGCCCGAGATGGCCCGAGATGGCGCGAGATGACCCGAGATGGCCCGAGATGGCCCGAGATGGCGCGAGATGGCGGCGCACGCCTAGCCGCGCGCTCCTCTGGCGCAGCTTGAAGACTCGCGCCGCCGCGGCGTGCTCGAGCCGCGCCTCGGGGAAGCGGAACGGCCGCGTGGGTAATCTCGGGTAATCTCGGGTAATCTCGGGTAATCTCGGGTAATCTCGCCGCGCCTCGGGGAAGCGGAACGGCCGCGTGGGTAATCTCGGGTAATCTCGGGTAATCTCGGGTAATCTCGGGTAATCTCGCCGCGCCTCGAGGAAGCGGAACGGCCGCGTGGGTAATCTCGGGTAATCTCGGGTAATCTCGGGTAATCTCGGGTAATCTCGGGTAATCTCGGGTAGTCTCGCCGCGCCTCGGGGAAGCGGAATGGCCGCGTGGGCGCCGCCGGCTGCGAGTAGTTGAGGTAGGTGCCGCTGAGGAGGAGCGCGAGCTTGAGTGGCGCGGCGAGCACCGTGCAGAGCAGCGCGAGCCGCCCCTGCAGCAGCAGCGACCAGAGGTAGGCAGGGTTCAGCCACGCGACACCCGCGGCTAGCCCCGCGGCGCAAGGCACCCCGGCCAGGGCCGGCCGGCAGGGCGCGCCGCCCCCCCGCGCTCCTCCGACGCCAAGCCAGTCGGCGTCGACTGCGAGCGCGAGCAGGGCGGTGCCGAGCAGCGCGCGGGAGAAGTACAGCCGCGACTCGCTCTGCCCGAGCGTGGCGAGGAGCCCGAGCGCGCACGACGCGTCGGCGCGTAGCAGCGAGAGGACGCAGCCCACGAGGAGGAGCGCGCGGCCCAGGTACTCCTCCAGCGCCGCGCCGAGGTCTTCGCCACCGCAGAGCCCGGCGGCGCCGCTCTCGGCGCCGCCGGTCGGGAGCCCGCCGCCCCGCTTGGCGTTGCGACCCGCCGCTCGCGCCGCGGCGGCGTCGCGCTGGCCGGTGGCCTTGCGTCCCTCGGTGAGGAGGAAGAGGCAGACTGCCTTGAGCGTGATGATCGGCAGCAGCAGGAAGAGGAGCGTGAGCGTCTCGTCGTTTGCGCGCATCGAGGCGGCCCACCCGAGCGCTCTCTCCATCAGTGTGTACGGGTCCCTGCCCGCCGCATCCCCTGCACCCGCCGCGCCGCCGCCGCCGCCGTCCGCGCCGCCGCGCGGGAGGAGCGGGGCGGAGGAGGGGGGCGAGGGCGGGAAGGAGAAGAGGGATGGGTCGGAGGAGTGCACGCCCGCCACCAGCCACAGGCCGTCGGCCGTGAGCGACGCCTAGGGAACTGTCTAGGAAGTGTCTAGGAAGTGTCTAGGAAGTGAGCCACAGGCCGTCGGCCGTGAGCGACGCCGCGAGCAGCACGGCGCCAAAGCGGAGGCGCGGGCCCTGCTGCGAGTACGCGGCGGCGATGTTGTACACTGCGGCGGCAAACGTGCCGTCGCGCCGAAGCGGCTGGACCAGCAGGGCGAAGAGCGCGAGCGCGACCAAGTGCGGGATGAGAGACTCTGAGACGAGCTCGACGGCCTCCTGCGCGCCGCCGAGCCGTACCGAGCGCGAGTTGGCTCGCAGCTCTGCGGTGTGCCTGCGCGAGCGCCGGAGCTTTTGCGAGATGGCCTCCCGCTCCGCCCTGCGGCGCGCCTCGCGCTGGTAGGGCAGGCACGTGGCGCGGTGCGTCTGCTGCTCCGAGAACCTGTACTTCCTCCCGCACGGGCAGTCGGCCACCGTCCTACGTGCCGAATACGCCAACCTCGGGGCGGGAATACGGCACTGCGCAGTGTCACCAGAGCACCGCGTGAATACAAGGTCACTACAGTGAATACGGCTGAATACGGCCGAGTACAGCTGAACACGTGTCCTCTCGAGCGCTGCTAGGAATGCAAGAACATGTCGCCTCTAGGCCACCGTCCGCAGCTCACAGGAGAGCACGTGCGAGGCGTAGCTCGCGGGCGTGAGGTTGCGGCCGCACCCAAACGGGCAGGGGCCGGCCGCGTAGGAGCAGCTGCGGTAGTGCTGCGAGAGCTCGGAGACGCGTCCCTTCCAGCTGCAGCCGTGCGCCTTGTAGATGCAGCACGAGCGCATGCGCGAGAGCAGCTTGGCCGCCATCAGGTTTGGCTGCAGGTCGCCCTCTTTCAGAGGCGCGAGGCACTCGGCGCAGCTCTCCTCGCCTTCGCGCAGCCGGCCGCGGATGCACGCGCCACAAAAGGTGTGGTGGCACGGCGTGAAGAGCGGGTCCTTCTCCAGAACCTCCTCGCAGATCGGGCAGGTGAGGTATACCAGCGACTCGGAGAGCTCCGCCTCGTTGAGCGTCTTGAAGATGGAGCGCGACGAGTGCGACTCGTCGAGGCCCAGCGCCTCGCGCTCGTGGCGCATGCGCAACCGAAAGTGGGCGAGTTGGCGAGCGAGGCCACAGAGGGTTGAGCTCCGGACTGGATAGGGGGCAAACCGCGGTATCGGGCGTGCGAGCCAACGTCGCACAACACTTATAAAATCGCGCGCGACAGTAAATGTTTAATCAACTAAACACTGACAGAGAGCTAAGGAGAGCCGCACCGCCCTCAAGAGAAGGCCGCCCTCGATCGTGCGTGGGAGTTTGGTTCTCAGTTTTTAGGATGGAAGGGTCTAGGAACGGACCACGCTCGAAGCACCACCGCCAGGTGCTTGTCGAGCTCGGCTAGATCTCGCTCGTTCTCGGCTAAATCTCGCTCGTTCTTTTTTTGGAAAACTGTACCCCATGTCCCCCAATGTACCCAACATTCCGCTGACGGCCTCTATCCCAAGGAAGCCCTCCACTAAGCTCGTCCGCTCGCACATATATCACATATGCAGAACAGACATCAAGCCTGGGCTAAACCAGGCGTGATTGATGGAACCACGTCGGTGAAAAACGAAAAATTGCCCCTCCGCGAGACCTCGATAGAGTAGCGCTGAAGAAGGCGCTCTTTTTGATTGAAAATAGTACCCCACGTTCCCCGACGGCTTTGCCTGACATCCACGAGGCATACCATGCACTTTCCTCGTCCGCTCGCGCTTGCCGCGCCGCATTGCGCCCGTTTATGCCGCCGCGAGCAGCACGCCTAGACCCCCGCGACGCCTATTGCTCACGGAACCCGCCGCCTCACCTCACCACCCCCACCACGCGATGCGCCCTCTCTCGCCGCGCGAGCGGCTGTACCCCCCTCGGCCTCGCACCGCCTGCCTACTCCCGCTCGCAGGTACAGCCGCTGCCATCGAGGAAGCCGCGAGACGCGTCCGCTGCTGCCCATTCCCCACCCTTGTCCCGCGCGACCGCCCTCCCTCTCTTCTGGCAAGAGAGCGACCCGCTCTCGCTTGCTCGCCAATCGCCGCCCGGCTCCAGTCCGAGCGCCGAGGACGCGAGACTCGCCGCCTGTCCATCGCGTCGCCTGCCGTTTGTCGCTCCACCCCTCCGGCGCCTATGCCGAGCCAAACTTCCCCCCTGTCGGTCACTGATGATGCGCAGACGCTCTCTCTCCCCCCCCCGGCCATCTCTACCAGTCCGTAGGCTGACACCGCGCTCACGTTTGACGCTGCTGACGCTCATCCGCCGCCGCCTGCAGAATGATGGAAAACAAGCCGTCCCACACGCCGCCCTCACCACCGGAGTCGCCGCCAGAGGTGGAGCAAGAGACAGTTCGCATCCCCCTCTTCCTTCTCGATCCGGACGTGGACGGAAACGGCGATGTCTCCCACGCCGAGAAGAAGATCCACGGCTGCCTCCTCGCCGCCGACAAGGACGGGAACGGCTGGCTCTCGACCAAGGAGTTCTACTCCGTCCTCTCGGGCTTTCTGTCGGCGGAGAAGGGGCGCCTCCTCTACAAGAAGCTGGCCATCTTCTCCTTGGTCGGCTGCGTCATCCTCGCGTGCACCACGCTCGGCACGTCGACTGCGGCGGCGGTGCTCGCGAAGGAGTCCTTTGTCAGCGAGACACTGATGGTCGACGCGGACGGCAAGGTGGTCGCGGTGGCCAAGGCGGAGACGAGCTTGCCGCTCCTCGTCGCGCCGGTTCTCTCGCCCGAGCAGCTCGCATCGATCGAGAAGATGACGGTCACCTACAAGAGCGACGGGGCGCCGGACGGCGGCAAAGAGGAGGCCGTGCAGGCCTCGCTCTACGTCAGCCACGTCAAGCGCTTCTCTAAGACTCGCGTCACCTTCGAGCTTGCCTTCCCGGGAGGGCTTGTGCAGGTCTGGGACGGCGCCGCGACGTATAGGGACGCGGAGGCCGTTCAGCACAACCTGTGCTTCGCCAAGGTGGGATGCGCGGCCTTCTCTGTTGACGACGCGGGCGAGGCGGAAAAGTTGGTGGCGGAGGCGGAGGAGGCGCTCGCGGCCGCCGGGCTGGAGGGGCGGCGCTTGGGTACCAGCATTGGCGGCTGCTCGATGCCGATGGGCTCGCCGTCGCCGGGCGGCTGCTCGATGTCCACGCCGCAGGCGGACTGCACGGTGGCCAACTGCGGTGCCGGTTGGATGTACATGGGCACCATGTGCATGCAGATGTCAATGCCGTCTCCGCCGCCCTCGCCTCCTCCGCCGTCGCCGTCGCCGCCGCCGTCGCCGCCGCCCTCGCCTCCTCCGCCCTCTCCGCCGCCGTCGCCGCCGCCCTCGCCTCTTCCGCAGTCGCCGTCGCCGCCGCCGCCGCCGCCGCCCTCGCCTCCTCCGCCGACGCCGCCGCCGTCTACGCCACCTCTTTGCGGCGATTCACCAACATGGGCGGATCTGTGGGGAGACGGTTGCAGGTGGTATGGTGCAAACGATCCGGGCTGTACCACGTACGAGGACTATGGGCAGAGCGCGAATTGCAGGGCGGCGTGTGGATATTGTGGAGTGCCGCCCTCGCCTCCTCCGCCGACGCCGCCGCCGTCGCCTCCGCCGCCCTTAGTCCCGCCCACGCCCAACTTCCCGCCCAACTTCCCGCGCACCTGGTGCGATCTCGGCTTCCCCGGCCCCGGCCGCGTCTGCTGTGCCGCTTCGTGCGGCAGATGCGGCGGAATGGGTTGCTCCATGCTTGAAGGAGGAAGTTCCAAGTGCTGCCCAGGCCCTATCAAGAAGCTTGAGAGGCTGTGCGAAGACTACGAAGATACCGCGTGCATGATGCCGAATGACAGACGGGCCCTGGTCGAGGCGGATGAGCAAGCTGAGATCGACGAGGTGGAGGTGCAAGGCCACGACGACATTCTTTTCTCGACTGGGTGGGTGGGAGGCGCTCGCGCAAAGTAGCAGGGGGCGGGCGCCGCCGGCCGGGAGCGCTTGTCGGGTCCCTCTCTGTCAAATCTGATATCATAAGTCGAATCAGAGCGGCGTCGGCGTTGATCTGAGCCGCCGTGTGTGACACATATTGCGGCATCGGCCCGGAGGGCCGGGTAGGAGGGGTCTAGGTTACCTCTACCTCTGAGGGCCTGCGGCCCTCTTATCGATGCGGCACGTGTGACGTGAGTGTCGGTGAGAGACATATATTGGGGTTTGCGGGGAGAGCCCCGCCCCGGGCCCGGCGCGCGCAGCGCGCGGGGCGTTTTTTATGCAAACATGCAAACGCGGGACGTCTGCGCAGCCTCTAACTATCAAAATTCAACATTTCCACACCACCCGTATTTGCAACTAGTCCCATGATGCATGAAGAGTCGGTGGCCTCAAGAACGTAAGAGCCGTCTGCCGCTTGCTTGTTTAAAAAGAGCAGGCAAAGAAAGAGGACGCCACGCTGCGGAAGATGTAAGAGACGAGAGTGCTTGTGTATGAAGACACTCAGCCAACGTGGCTACCACACATCCTGAGCGGACTCCCTAGTCACCCGCGGCCGGACTCCATCCGGCACGCGTCGCTGGGCGCTCAGAGCCGCGTCCCCTGCTCGCCACCCCGACGCTCACAAGGCGCCCGAGTCGAACGACAGGCGGCACGCGAAGACTGGTTGCAATCCCGCCGACCGCCAGGCCGCGGGATGATGTGTGCGTGGTCTTGTAGTGGGTCTCGGAAGCTCCCCTCTCGGGCTAGGAGCCTACCCCTCTCCCTTCCAGCTCGTCCGCGTCGCCCGCCGCCGCCCGCCTTGCTGGGGGCACGGTGTGCACCGCCTCCGCCGTCCACGCCTCCCGCAACGCCGCGCCGCGGCCCTCGCCCAGCCGCTGGAATGCTTGGTCGGTCCGCCACCACCGTTCGCCTTGTCCGCCGCTCGGGCCGCCGCCGTCAGCGCCGCGCCCCCGCCGACGAACACGAGCGGATACGTGCCACCGCCACCCTCCGGTCCGCAAGAGCTCCTTATCAGCTGGTCGGCCGCCATGTGGGCCTCCGGGCCTGCCGCGGCGGCGCGGCCGATCGAGGCCGGGCTCGGCCCGGCCCGCGACGGCTGGCCGCCGACGAGCGCGCTCGCGCTGCTCGTCAAGATGGCGGCGGTGGCGATTGCGGCGACGGTCGTTCAGTCGTTCAGCGCTCAGGCGTCTGTCGTCTGTCGTCTGTTGTCGCATTTCGCACACGCGCGCGCCGCGCGACCCGCGCGTCGCTCCGCGAGGGCATGAGCCTTCCGCGATTCGATTTCGCAGCCAAAAGCTGCTGGCTCGAACCGCGGCCGACTCTGCCACCGCGGCTGCAGCTGTTGAGCCCTCCAGAAAACTGGTGCCTCATATGCTGCCTCCCTGCGGATGCTGCCGGCAGCCTGGCGGTCCGCTGTACCTCAAGGAAGTGCAGACTCGACCCCCCCCCGCAATCTTCTACCCCCACGACTCGGAACACGAATGTGACAGGACCATCGGGTCCTTCAGCCACCAATGCGAGATCACCCGAGAGCAGCTGAGTCTGCCTCTGGCCTCGCCTCCCTCTCCTTCAGGCATTTGTGGCATCCTATGGGTCGTCCAGAGTATCGACCTCTGGCGAGTCAGCCAGCCCCACTTTGAGGGCGCCATGAAGTACAGCGATCACCATCTCGCTGGCCTCTCCGCAAGGCCTCCCGACCGCGTCGAACTCATCGGCGCGGGCTCTCTCGGCTACGGGACCGGCCCCAGCTTCGGCTGAGGGCTGACAAGCTGCCGAGCCCAAATCACGTGAGAGCCGTGATTTCTTGTTGGTTTTCCAAAATCTCTCTCTCTCTCTCTCTCTCTCTCTCTCTCTCTCTCTCTCTCTCTCTCTCTCTCTCTCTCTCTCTCTCTCTCTCTCTCTCTCTCTCTCTCCGGTGGGTGTCGGTGGGCCTGACGCAATGAGACACGCTCCGCTCCAAAAGCCTCCCGAACGTTGGATTCGCACCGTAACGTCTATCTAACCGCCCGCCGCGCGGCCTGACTCATCATCACCTCACTACCGACCAACGCAGGCGCATCGTCACGCGCCGGATGTAGAGCTCTACAGCTCTACAGCACTCTACAGCGCTCCAGAGCGCTCTACGTCTCTACAGCTCTACAGCGCTCTACACTCTACATCCTCTACACCCTCAGCTCGCACCTCAACCTCTCACAGACCAGCGCACAGCGCCATACGAGGACCGGCCGCAGCACATAAAAGGGTGGGCGGGCAGTGGGCGTGTGTGCGCGCGCGGTGGTGACTGGTGTGTGTGTCCGGTGTGTGTGTGTGTGTGAGTGAGTGAGTGTGTGTGTGTGTGTGTGTGTGTGTGTGTGTGTGTGAGTGAGAGTGAGTGAGTGAGTGTATTGTGTGACCGCTGTGTGTGTGTGTGTGGACTGTCGACTGTGAAAGGATACAGGACCATCGGGTTTTGAAACAGAGATGAAGAAAAATGGCATGGCATGCGTGTAACGTGTAAGTATACAGTAACGCGTACTAGTAGTACAGTGAGTGATCTACACCCTTCCCACTAACTGTACCAATCCTCGCTCCCACCTTCACTTCCAGCCCTAGCAGTCCGCCTGGTCCATGCTGAGCGGCGGCGCGGGAAGGTTAACGCGCTGCGTCGATCCACAGATACAGATGCGGCACACGCAACGCGCCAAAAGGAGCAGCGAGGTTGGCGTGCCCCGTGGCCTCGCCCTGTGCCTAGCCGCTAGTCGGCGGACGCCGCCCTCTGCAGCTCGCGCGCAGAGGCGAGGAACTCGTCCAAGCCCATCTCGCGCAACAGCACGAGCGCGTGCGCCTAACGAACGACTCAGTCATCGATGAATGGAGGCCCATCTCTCGCGCAGCAGCACGAGCGCGTGGCGCCGCGCGCAGCTCGCGGCAGCTGTGCGCCGCAAAAGCGTCGGCGCCGAGCAGCGTGGCGAACTCGGCGTACTGGCGCGCCTGCGCCATCTGCGCGAGGTGCGAGAAGGGCCCGTCGTACTCCGGCGAGGGGAAGGAGGCGTCGAGCTGCGAGAGGAAGCAGGCAGCGAAGGAGTCATTGAGCGCCGCGGTGTCGGCCGGAGAGCACGCCACGGCGTGCGTCGCTTCGGCGATGGAGAAGCGGAACCAGACGTTGCGGTAGCCCCACACGCGCACCGCCCGCGCAGCCTCGGGGTCGCCCTCCCGCCACAGCCGCAGCGCCTCCGCCACCGCCTGAAGCACCTTGAAGTGCGTGTCTGGGCCGGAGCCCTCCGGGTCGAACGCCACGGTCACCACATCCGGCCTCGTCTCCTAATTGACTCATTCATCACGAGTGGAGCTATTGACTCTCATTGCAGCCGCCACGTCGAGCCCCGTCTCCTCGAGGGCGGCGAGGATCGGCCTCGCGTCTCGCCGTGTCGGCTCCTCGGTAAAGCGCTCGCCCTTGTAGAAGCCAAGCCGCAGGTGCGACACCTGTGCCGTCCAAAGCCGTGGTACGCCCAGATTAGCCGAGATCGGCCGAGATCGAGAGCGGCCGAGTATTGGGCCGAGAGTACACCTCGTTCCGCCCGAAGCCGTGGTAGGCCCAGAGCAGGTCGGCCTCGAACTCGCGCAAGCCGCCCTTGAGGCGCTGGAGCAGCGGCGCATCCTTTGCGCCGTCGAGCTGAGGTGACATGTCTCGGGCATGTCACGGACGTGTCGTGGACATGGAGGTCCGAACGGGGCGGCGAGCGGCTCCTGCGATGCGAAGTAGTGCGCCGCGGCGGAGCACGCATCTGCGAGGAGGGCGGGAGAGGCGGAGGGAGAGACGCCGCCGCCGCCGCCGCCGCCGCCGCCGCCGCCTGCACGCGAGAGTGACGACGCCAGCTGCGGGGCGAATGCGCCGAGCTCCTCCTCCGCCTGTACTCATCATGAATGATGACTGACTCATGCTTGACTCATCAAGGCGAATGCGCGGCTCCTCCTCCGCCTCTCGCGCAAGCAGCACCTCTTGAGCACACCGCGCTGTCCGCTGAGCCACCGCCGCCCTCAGCCCCGCCTGGTCGCGCGCTGCGAGGGCGGCCAAGTACCTCCTTGCGTCCGCGTCGGGGCCGGCCGGGCCTATGATATGAGATCAGATGAGATCAGATGAGATCAGATGAGATGAGATGTTTGTCTGTGTGTTTGCATGTGTGTGTGCAGAGAGAGACCGAGCCTGCGTCTGGCGCCAGTCCTCCTGCCGCACAGAGTGCCGCGAGGGGGGAGTCCTTGCGTCGGAGCTCGGCGGCGGCTGCCTCGAGCCGCTCGCGCGCGAAGGCATTTGTGACGGCGTTGAAGCCCGACGTGGCGTAGAGGAAGCGGTGCGTTGCGGTCGGGTCACGCACGAGGCGGCGGACCAGTGGCAGGTAGCCTGTTCATGTGAACGACAAGTCACGAGTGATAGTCGCGTTAGAGGCGCGGTGCGCCCAGCGGCGGGTACCGAGCATGATGTCGTCATGGTGCGGGGCCGTATGGACGTATGACCGGCCAGGCACGTCGGAAGCGCCCGCCGCCAGCCTCGCCTGCAGTGCTTGCTTCACCGCCGCCGCCGCCGCCGCCACAGCCTCCCTCTCCATCGCCGTTATGCCACGGCCGCCGCTGCCGCCGCCGTTGCTGCCGCCGCCGCCGCCGCCATCGCCGCCGCTGGCGAGGGCGGCGGCGCAGCGGGGATGGGACGCAACGTCGTCTGGAGTGAGCTGGTCGAGCCGCTTGCCAAGGCAGAGTGCGAGGTCGCAGAATGCGTCCACCGCGGCAGGCGGAACGGCGGCGGCGGCGGTGGTGGCGGCGGCGGTGGTGGTGGCGGCGGCGGTGGTGGTGGCGGCGGCGGCGCTCCAGCTGGACAGTGGCGGCGCGGCGCGGAGGGCGGCGATGGCGTCAATGTCGCGCCGCGCCCCGAGCTTGCTTGCAGCTGAGCGGGTCAGTGCGAGCCTAAGGTAAGGCAAGGCAGGGCAAGCGTCTCCACACACACGAGGTGGTGGGGCAAGGGCCATGCAACCCCCTCGCGACACGTCTAGACGACAGGAGCCCGCGTAAAACGTGCAAAGCCCGGTGTGCGTGGATGAGCGGTGTGGTGTGCGTGAGCTTGTGGGCGGTGTGAGTGAGTGAGTCAGTCAGTCAGTGAGTGTGAGCGAGTGTGCGAGTGCGTGCTTGCGCGCGTGTGCGCGCGTGTGCGTGTGTGCGTGTGTGTGCGTGCGTTGCGCGCGTGTGCGTGCGTGCGTGCGTGCGTGCGTGCGTGTGTGCGTGTGTGTGCGTGCGTGCGTGCGTGCGTGCGTGCGTGCGTGCGTGCGTGCGTGCGTGCGTGCGTGCGTGCGTGCGTGCGTGCGAGTGTGCGTGTGTGTGTGCATGTGTGTGTGTGCAGAGCCTTGCAGAGGGCAAGCAGCGAAGCGCCGAGCCAGGCACCGCGTCGCTCGCGGGCGCCTCGCACGCTCGCTGCACCACCCGCGCCTTCGCATCGCCCGCTGCCATGAGGTAGGCGACGCAACGCTCGTTGAAGCAGACCGTGCCGAGGCCGATCGTCACCACCTGGGAGAGGAGAGGGCAGTCGCGGGACCCTCGCGGGCAGCCGGGAGGTGCAAGCAGCAGGGAGATGCAAGCAAGGAGAGGACGCATATGCTGAGAGGTGCCGAACCCATACTGTGACCTCAGAGCATATGGCCAGGGGATAGGCGGCAGCGGCGTGGAGAGGGGCAGCGTGGGTGGAGCCCACCGCGCCGCGCCGCGCCGCCTCGATCCCGCCCAAATCTCCCGCCGCCGCCGCCTGCGTCGCGTAGTTTGTCTTGGTCAGCCGCGTCACGGAGTGCCGCCCCGAGCCTAGTCCACACGCGCGGATGACTCACGAACGAACGACTGGCGCCAATCCACACACGCGGAGTACTTATGAATCAATCAGTTGGCCAACCGCGTCGTGGAATCCCCCCCCCCCCCCCCCTCCTCCCCCTCCGGCGGCGGCGGCGGCGGCGGTACGTCTTGGGTCTGCAAGTAGAAGTAGCCCGCACCGGCGCAGTTGAAGGCGACGTGACCGTCCGGACCGATGCCTGCGGGATAAATCGCACCGATGAGTCGCACCGATGAGTCCCGCCTCGAGGGCATGGGGTGTGGGGAGTACCAAGAGAGATTGGGGCGGAGCTGTTCCGCCTCTAGGAAGTCCGGGCGGAAGCGCGGCTCTTGTGCAGAGTAGTCAGAGCACCGCGCGAACACGAGGGAGGCGAATACAGCTGAGTACGGCTGAATACGGTGAAGCGCAGCGGAAGACGCGTCCTCTCGAGCGCTAGTCTTGGAATGCATGAATATACGCTTTCTTCTAGGGCCCGACGCCGCCCAGGAAGAAGCCGATCCCACCCATGCCTCGCACCTTGGCCTCGAAGTCGCTGCAGTACTGGTCGACCTACGTGCTGAATACACCAACATCAGGGCGGGAATACGGCACTGCGGAGGGAGAGCACCGCGTGAATACAAGGGAGGCGACTACAGTGAATACGGCTGAATACGGCCGAACACAGCTGAGTACGTGTCCTCTCGAGCGCTACTTGATATACAAGAATCTGTCCCGCTTCTAGGCTGGTCGACGGCGGCGAGCGCGCGCTTCTGCGCCGCCTCACGTGCCGTGGCCGCCTGCGCACAAGGCATTGGAGTGGCCGCTGCGAGATCACTGCTCTGCGCCGCCTCGCGCGGACCGCCTCGCGATCGCGCAGCGTAAGGTCGACGCCGTCAGCGAAGAGCTGCCCGGCGTCGCAGCCGGCGTCGCAGCCGAGCGTCCAGAGGCCGTCCATCAGCAGCGCCTTGTCTGCGTCCAAGCCGATCGCGTCGATGTAGAGCAAGCGCACGTAGTTTGTGAAGCGGTTCGGGTGGTCAGGGTGCATCGGGTAAAAGTCGTCGAGCTGGACGAACCGGAGCGAGGCCATATCGGGGACGCCAGCAGAGAGGCTGATCCCTCCTTCCCGCAACAGCTGCAGCGTCGACGGGTCGGCCGACGCCCAGCCACGCAGGAGGCGGCTGGTCCAGGCGATAAAGTGCTCTGGTGTCCGGCCGGTTGGCAGCGCAACCACGCCGTCCGGGTGGCTCTGCGCCCACTCCAGGAATCGGAAGGCGCATAGGCGGCCGAGCGCGGGGAAGCTGTCCACTTCGATGACACCAATCTTCTCTTCGCCGAGCCGGAGGGCGGAGCGACCGCTGGCAGCAAGGGCCGCTTCCTCGACGGCGGAGCGATCGCTGGCAGCCATTCTGTGCCGTCGGGGTTTTTGGCCGAGTCAACCCGGAAGCCTGGCGAGACTGCGTCATCTGTTCCACAGCACATGGCAGGCTGGAAGTACAGTTGTACCTCGCCAGGGTTGGAGCAGCAGTCCTGAGCACGGCGCCGCAGGCGCCTGTTGATAGGTCCAGGTGATAGCCCTGGATAGGCAATGCATACGCCTCACTGGACCTCAGATCGCCCGACCGCGTCCCGGTGCTCTGCGGTCTCGGGCACCGCACCCGTGCTGCCACAAAGCACAATGTGCTGCCACAAAGCACCACTAGCGATTTCGCGCGGAGGGCGTAGTGAAGTGCTGGGGCGCTCACTGTGTGTTATTCGGGTGGGGATCCATCAGTGGTAAGCGGCTTTAGTCACAGATCCAAGCTCAGACGTCACACCAACACCACAAACACGCTCACTTCGCCGCTGCTGTAGATGGGCCTCCGGGGGCCCATGCTATGTCGAAGCACAGACCCGATCTCGGCACTCACGGGCTGCCACGCGCCCGCGCGCGGCGCGGGCCGCACCTCCCATGCCCCCGGGTCACCAATCCCGCCTCTCGGCCCTCTCGGCCCTCAGGAGCGTGCGGGAGACCGGCGAGGGGCGCGCCGCGCGCCGCCTGCAGAGCCGCCAGAGGCATTGTCGCCTCCGCTGGCGGGGTTCCCGCGCGCCCGCCCGCGCCCGCGCCCGCCCACGCCGCGCCCGCGGGCTCCGGATGCGCCGCCCTCCTTCTCCTTCTTCTCGATGGCAGTCCACGCGTGCTTGTCGACGGGTCGGCGGCGTGGTCGAGGGGAAGGTCGCCGGCGGCCGCAACTCTGCCGCCGTCGCTCCGCCGGCTCTGATCGAGTATCGGGCGTTGAGGCGGCGGCGCAAAGCGGGTCTGGCGCATCCATCGCCATGCGCCTCGCGGCCGCGGTCGTGGCACACCTGGTGGCGGCTCTCGAGGCCGTCTCTACGGCGCTCGACGCCGTGTGAGGTCGCCGGCGGCCGCAACTCCGTGTCTCCGCCGCCGTCGCTCCGCCGGCTCTGACCGAGTATCGGGCTTTGAGGCTGGCGGCGCAAAGCGGGTCTGGCGCATCCATCGCCACGAGCCTCGCGGCCGCGGTCGTGGCACACCTGGTGGCGGCTCTCGAGGCCGTCTCTACGGCGCTCGACGCCGTGTGAGGTCGCCGGCGGCCGCACCTCTGCCGCCGTCGCTCCGCCGGCTCTAACCGAGTATATCGGGCGTTGAGGGCGGAGGCGCAAAGCGGGTCTGGTGCGCCACGGCCACCACCCTTGCCACCGCCCTTGCCGCCGCCCTTGCCACCCTTTGCCGCCTTGCCTCCGCCGCGGGCGGAGGTGGGAGCGGCCTGCTGGGCTAGCATGTTGTCCGTGCTGTGGACGGGCACGTGGAACGTCAATTCATGTTCGAACGGCCTCCGGGATTCAAACAAAAAATAGCCGGGGCCCTCTCGCAATCCCTCCGACCCCCCGGGACCCGTGGGCGTCGAAGAGGCGCTCTCGGGGGGCCGTTCTGAGTTCATGCTACCACGAAGCACACTGTGCTGCGTCAAAGCACCGGCCCCGAGTCCGTCTGCCGTCGGATTTGTGACTCCGCCGCACCGCGCCGCGGCCGGGGGCCCTCCGGAGGCCGAGGATGGCCGTGGCGGACCGGGACGAGCTCTGGGAGGTAAGGTGTCAGTGAGTATATTGTAGAGACTGTCCATGAGCACAATATCTCTAAGTCTAGCTAAGCCAGGGGAGGCGATGCCGGGCGGGGCCGTACATACAGCAGCTTGATGGTGCTTCGCCGGCGTGCGTCCCGGAGCGGTCCCGGACGGGCGGTCCGTGGGAGGAAAACGAGGGACCGCGCCGACGGCGCTCTGATTCGACTTTTAACTTCAAACAAAGACAGTCGCACGCGCCGCAGCGCGGCGCGTGCGACTGTCAGGAGCGGCTGGTCGGCCGCCATGTGGGCCTCCGGGCCCGCTGCGGCGGGGGACGCCGCAAGCTGTCAGAGAAGGAGCATGACGAAGGCGAACACTGCGAAGTAATTGACTGCCAGATGATCCGAATCGGCTCGTTGCTCGTTCGCAGCACCGTTGGCTCCGGTCCGCGGTTTGAGGGAGGGGCAGCCGCAGCACGAAGAGCCATGTCAAGAGAGCCGCAGCGAGTGCCAGCAAGACCAGGCGCCAGGCGCGCATCGCCCAGATGGACTGGCGGATCTGCCCAACACACCCGGCACCAAGCCCCCACAGCGCGGCAGCGGGCCACAAGGTGAGCCTGCAAAGCCCCAAGAGCAGCCAGTGCGCGACTGGGAAGACGGTGACCTGCCAGAGCGCCGGAACTAGGAGGATCCACAGAGTGCCGAACAGAACCACGTGTCTTGGGCCCGCTCCTCTTCGAGACGAGGTAAACCTAGCCAAGCAGGGGAGCGACATGGTCGAATCCAAAATCTTGGAGCACTTGGAGTGCAGTCATTAGCCTCACATCCAGGGCCGGGGAGCTCAGAAGCGCACCCAGCGGGCCGGATGATCGGGATCGGGTTGCGGGCAAGAGAGCCCTAGCCCCGGGGGTGCGCGTTCGCAGGGCAAGGGCTGTAAAGTAAACACGGGTCTCCGAGAATCCGATTTTTTTCTGCCAGCACATTGGCACTGCTCGCGGCCATCTCGCGCATTATGCTCCTCGCCACCGCTGCCACCGCGCTCAGCGTGCGCATGTCGGCCGCGCCCGCGCCGGCGAGCGCCTCTGCCTCCTCGACTTCGGGCGCCGCCGACGCGCCGCTGCTGCTGCGAGCGGCGCGAGGCGAGGTCACCGAGTCGACGCCAGTGTGGATGATGCGGCAGGCGGGCAGGCACATGCAGGTGTACCGCGACCTGGTGAAGGACTACCCGACGTTTCGCGAGCGCTCCGAGATTCCCGACGTCTCGTATGCCGTCTCGATGCAGCCGCGCGACGCCTATGGCACCGACGGAGTGATTTTGTTCTCCGACATCCTCACGCCTCTGCCTGCAATGGGCGTCGACTTTGCGATCTCCGAGGGCGGAGGGATCACGATCGACCCGATCCGCACGCGCGAGGCCTTCGCCAAGATGACCGCCGTCCCCTTCGAGCCCGAGACGAAGATCAGCTTTGTCGGCGACGTGCTCAAGGCGCGCGCCGCCTTTCTCGACCTCGCCGCCTCTCGTCCCTGCCTTCTCCTCCCCGCACCGCCCCCGCCCCCCCCCTCCCACACTCGACCCCCCGCTCTCCGCCGCCCACTCCCTTCCGCCGCCCTCTCTCGCCGCCGCCTCCCTCGCCGCCGCCCTCGCCGCCGCCGCCCTCGCCGCCGCCCTCGCCGCCGCCGCCCTCGCAGCCGCCCTCGCCACCGCCCTCGCCACCGCCCTCGCCTGACCGCGGCTTCGCCTGCGGCTGCAGCGGCTGCGCGCGACGTTGGCCGGCACCGACGCGACGGTGCTCGGGTTCGTCGGCCTCCCGTTCACGCTGGGCACGTACCTCATCGAGGGCGCCACCGGCACGAAGACAGGCTTCGCCGCGATGAGGCGCCACACCTCCCCATACCTCCCCATGCCTCCCCATACCTCCCCATACCTCCCATACCTCCCCATACCTCCCCATACCTCCCATACCTCCCCACATCGCCCCACATCGCCCCACATCGCCCCACATCGCCCCACATCTCACATCTACATCTCCCCGCATCTCACATCTACATCTCCCCGCATCTCCCCGCAGGCAGCTCCGAGAGTCCGACCCGCAACTCGTGGCCGACATGCTCAAGCTGCTCGGTCGCCCCTCCTCTCCCCTCCTCCTCCCCCGTCCTCTCCCCTCCTCTCCCCTCCTCTCCCCTCCTCCTCCCTCCTCCTCGCCGCCTCCTCGCCCTCCCGCAGCAGATTCCCCTCCCCTCGAGCGCCGCGGAGCCTCCCTGCAGGCGACCGGATCGCGCAGTACGCAATCTACCAGATCGACTCTGGCGCGCAGGTGCGGAGACACCTCCCCAGACCTCCCCAGACCTCCCCAGACCTCCCCAGACCTCCCCAGACCTCCCCAGACCTCCCCAGATTTGGGGGGCAGCTCCCCCCCCCCCCCTGTCGTACCCCCACTTGAGGGTCGGCAGCCCCCCCCACCCCCCCCCCCCCCCCTTCACTCGAGGGTCCGGCGAGGTCAGCCTAACGGAGCTCAGAGCTCTCATCATTGCAGGCAGACAGACACAGACAGACAGGCGCGGGCAGACAGAAGCGGGTGTGGCCTGCCAGGTGGTCCAAGTCTTCGACTCGTGGGCGGGCCACCTCACGCCGGACGAGTTTGACGAGTGGGCGGCCCCCTTCCAGCGGCAAGTCGTTGGCGCCATCAAGGCGGCCGCTCTCCTCCTCTCCTCTCCTCTCCGCCTTTCTGCTCCCACCACTCCTCCTCTCCTCTCTCTCCCCTCTCCCTCCTCCTCCCTCTCCTCCTCTCTCCTCCTGCCCCCTCTCCCTTTCCCCTCCTCCGTCTCCGCTCCGCTCCCCCTGCTCCTCCCTCTCCTCTCCAGCTGAGACAGGCCCACACGTGCTCCCAGGCTGCGCGGCCCGATACGCCCGTAATCATCTACATGGCCCCCGACACCCACTCCAAGGAGGGGGCGCTTATCACCAAGCTCGCGGCCTCGGGCGCAAACGTCGTCTCGGTCGACCACACCCTCCCGATCTCCGCGGCGCGCGAGCTGCTCGACGAGGCCGGCTACGAGTCGGTCGGCTTGCAGGGCAACCTCGACCCCGCCATCCTCGCCGAGGGGTCGGAGGAGGAGATCGTCGCCGCCGCGCAGGAGTGACTGCTGCTCTGAGTCTCAGCCTGCTTCCTGCGACAGCTAGCGCCACTCTTGCTGAGCTCAGCAGCGGCGTCAGCATCCGCATCATTCACTCCTATTACTCCTCCAAGTCTTCTCCCTGCTGCCCCGCGCGCAGGACATCCTCAAGAAGATGGCTGGTCGGCCGCACATCATGAACCTCGGCCACGGCATCGAGCCGACCACCCCCGAGCCGTCGGCCAACCTCTTTGTCAAGACGGTCCAGGAGTGGCGCAACTGAGGCGGGTGGCCCCAAGCTCCGCCGCCGCAGCACCACCACGCGACTCCACTTGCTTGGGCCACGCCCACGGCCACGCTCGCTGCACACGCGCGCTGTAGACTGATTCGGCCGCTTGAGACGCTGTGTGCCGCGATGCGGGAACACAAAAAGTTGCAAAAACATCTGTGGCTCCTACACAGCCATCTTAAAGCCGTACCTAAGGGTGGCTGAGCTGCTGCAGTGCAGCCATACGCAGCAAAACTGGCCCCACCGCCCCCAGGAATTCTCTATTCTGGGCCGAGCGTTTTTTTGATATCTCGGTGAGTGGGCGCCCGCCCGCCGCACCTCTGACAATCGTGATCGGTCCCGCTATGGATATGCCCAACCCACAAAATGAATACGCATCGCCTTATGCTCTGGTTTCTGGTGCGTAACCTGGTGCGTAGAGATAGCTACTTATGAAAATACATTTGTGTAACCGCCGATCCATGGCGCGCGTAGCTATGACAGGGACCGAGGCCGCGGACCCGGTGGCGGACGGGGCTGGCGCGCAAGCGCCGGCCACCGTCGTACTGCCGGGGATGCGCAGCGGACCCTGGAATCGCTCCGATCGCGCGCAACTGGAGGACGCGGTGGGTGTCGCACGGTTGTTCGGTGCGTCGTGTGTCAGGCTGATAAGGCCTGGCTACGCGACCATCGAGGTCGACCTGAAGCACGAGAAGGCCGCGGGCGACCGCGAGTCGGTGAAGGTGGCGGAGCGCTCGTACATCGAGCGCACCGCGCCGAAGAAGAAGGAGCTCACTGATGAGCAGCTTGCGGCTCGAACCGCGTCTCGCAAGGCCAAGAAGATCCGGCAGAAGGAGCGCCGGGCGAAGGAGGCTGGCGAGCGCGCCGCGAACGAGGCCGAGAACGCGGAGCGCCCGCGCGCGCAGCTGCGCGAGAACATCGAGTACGTGATGGCCGGGCTGCGGTCTGCAGCTGCGCAGGCGCGCAGCCAGGCCGGGTCCAATATAGGAGTCGAATACTCGCTGCCCCCGGAGAGGGACGACGGGTATCGACGCGGCCCCAGCAAGGTGTACGCCACAGTTCCCCAGGGGACCGTGGCGACGACGGTCGCCCCGGACTGGCTCGCGAACGAGCTGGCCGGGCGCGGCAAGATTGATGCGGCATGCCGCGACCGCATGGTCATGCACCTGATGACGGCCGCCGGCGCCTCGGCGCCGGCCGACGCCGTGTTCAGGTTCACGGCTGGCGAGGCAATGCAGACCGAGGACGACGACGAGGACGCCGACCGCTCCGAGGAGTATTCCGACGACGACGGGAGGGCGTCCGACTTGTAGCTGGCCTCACCCATATCTTACCCTCTGCCCCCCCCCTCCTGCTACCCCCCAGGCTAGATGGAGTAGTCACAGATAGCCCCACACAGCCCCTTACCCCGGGTACTACCCCTTCACCCTCGCCTCGCTGTGTTTCTGAACACGTAGACGACCACGCTGTGGGGGTTGTGTTATAGGAGTAGGAGTGGGGTGCAGGTTGCTCACCCACGGCACCGGGCCGGTGCTTGCACTTTGAATGCCGTGGGGCTCCTGCCCGTGTCCGGGCGTGGAGATGCGAGGGTCGCCCCCCCTTGCCCCACCACTTTGTGTGTGTGGAGACGTTTACCTTACCTTACCTTACCTTAGCAGATACGAAGTCCGGCACTCGCCCCGGTCCTGCTCACAGCGCATATTTTCCTTCGAAAACAGCACAGAATACTTCAATGTTGGCCCTGCCCCGCACTTACGCAGCATAATTTTACCAATTCAGGCACATCGACGACCGCGTTACGCACGACGTATCATGTATCCGCATACGTACCCCTTCCTGGCGCCACAGCCTGGAGGCGCTGACGTACTCGGAACCCCACCATCGCTCGCCTACCTTCCGCGTACGGCGACACCCCGAGACGCCACCTCGGCAACACCCCAACATCGGCAGGAAAGATTCACACCACGACGGCGCTATAACGCCGCCCCACCCAGACTGGACAGGCCTGCTCTCGGAGAGGGGGGCTAGGGGGCCAAATCCACGGCCACAACCCCCTAGAGGCAATGGAGCTGAGAGAAGGCGCTCGGCTGCAAGGGTAGCAGAGCACCACTCCTACGCCCACGCCCCCACAAAGACGGCAGAAACAGTCACACGCAATTAGTACATGGCCCAGCTCGCGCCATCGCCCACACTCGAGCTTTGCAGCGCGCGGGCTCACACTCTACTATAGGCCGCCTCGACGCCCACTTCGAGTTCTACTCAGCTAAGGGCCGCACTTGACGCTGTAAGCAGCGCGCGGCGAAGCAGTTTGGCGCTTGTGGTGAAATGTGGGAATCTAGCCCAAGGTCGGAGAGTCGTGTCATAGGAGAGGAGAGAGTGTGGAGATGTTTTGTGCGGGATCAGGCCCGAGTCCCTAGTGTCGCCGGAGCAGGTAGCTCCCTTTTTGAAAACTGAACAGTTTTTTTTAGGACAGTAGCTCAAGGCGCCCGCGCCGCACAAACACTGCACTCTGACCACCGCCCAGCACCGCCCCTGCCTTGCGCTGCCTTGCACCACCCTGCCCCGCCCTGCCCCTGCCCGCCCCGCACCGACCTTCCCAGCCCCGCCCTGCCCAGCACCGCCCTGCCCTACCCCGCCCCGCCCATCCCTGCCCTGCACCACCCTGCCCTGCTGTCTGTGATAACATGTGGAGCGAACGCCCCGGATGCTCTACTATTAAGACAGCTTTTACCTGCGTCCAGCCAATAAGGAATCTCGTTTTACAACACCATATCTCAATGTCTCGATACTACACGTACCTCTACAAGAAGCTATGTATCAACCTACCGAAATTGTTTCATTGCTCAACGTCCGAATCAGGACCACTATAAGTACTCCAGCAGCCATATTACCGGCGCTGCTGTTTAGGGTTTGAATACCCCTGGCCCTGACAAAGAAGGAAGCCATGTCTTCCA